TTCTTCTTGCTAATACGTTTAAGTTCTCTATGGATTCTGGTTATTAAACCTTTTTTTTTTCTTTTTAAAACAGAGTATCACTCTGTTACTTTGGGTACAGTGCTGTGTAGTCGTAGCTCACAGCAACCTCAAACTCTTGGGCTCAAGTGATCCTCTTGCCTCAGACTTCCAAGTAGCTAGGACTATAGGCCCTGCCACAACATCTGGCTATTTTTAGAGACCAGGTCTCATTCTTGCTCAGGCTGATCCCAAACTGCTGAGCTCAAGCAGTCCACTCCCCTTGGCCTCTCAGAGTGCTGGGATTACAAGGATGGCCACTGCACCTGGCCTATAAAGATCCTCTGTGCAGACGGGCCAAGGAGAGCCGTAGGTGGGCAGTGTAATCAGATGGTATTCCGAAAAGGTGATACAAGCCAGTGTGGACAGGCAGCTGGACAGAGACCAGAGTGATGACTAGAATTCCTCTTCAAGGGCTATTGGGATATGATAAGGGTGAAATGCGGTGGTGGCAACTGGGAAAAAGAGTGGATGATGACAGGAAAACAATGAAGACACACAGTAGTGAAACTTAATGCACGGTCTGCAGAGCGCGAGTCTGAAAGCTAAGTGCGTGTCGTAGGTTCTGAGTTGGGCATCTGAGCACGTGGGAAGGCCATTATTCCAAAGACGGAAGAGAAGAGGGGAGATGCTAAGTTCTCTTGCATAGTATCTTATCTTGGGTCTCATCAAAAGGCTGTGATGGTGGATAGAGTACTACTCTCTTTGTAATGTGTCCGGCACGAAGCTTAGTGTGGCATCCACTTGGAGAGCGTGTGTGACACTTTTTCATAAATATTCGGCTGAGGCTAGGAAGAAACTAAAGCAAATTTATCAAATCCTGTTCCACCCATTCATCCATTCACTTGGAATCAACGTGGGCTGTGTGAAGTGTCCAGACCACGTGAGGATAGAACGATGGAACGGTGTATACCGAAGGAGCCTAATCAATCACCTGTCTGCCTGCTTCGTCTCTGAGCACTAAAACATCGTGAACAAACATAAGGGTGCAACTGAGAATGGAAATAAATTGTTAGTTTTATTGATGATGGAGCTGGATTACGAATGCAGGAATAAATATCCTCTCTCTCTCTCTTCTTCTAAAACCTTGGAGCCGGCGGCATCATCGCTTGCCCTTTCCCTCTGCTGGGGAGAAAGCCGGCCCCTGACGTCAGCCAGCTTGTTGCCAGGCAACCCAGGGAGAGCTGCCTTAAATTGATTTAATATCGAAGATGAACTTCACCCTCAGCCAAAATGCATTCTCTAATCTATTTCGCTCCGCAAATTATGTCTAGCCATGACATTCAGCGCAGCTCAACAGAAAAGGCTGTAAAATGCACACTCACAACAGCGTTAAAATAGGCCAGATCATGTGAGGCCAACAAAACCAAACTGCATTTGCATATCAACCATGCATACAAATTTTTCTCATTGTTAAATATTCAGAAAGAAATTAAAATACTAATATGAAGTAGCCTTTTATTGTATATTAAAGTCCAACGAATTAAGAGTCCAAAATTTCTCCTCCGCAGTTTCACTTTGTCGTAGGCTAAGGATGAGTGCCTTATTTCCCGTCCTGGTTCTTCCTTCCGTGGCTAATCTCCAAGTTCTCTCCTGCTGAAATAATGTGAGGCTCCCTTCGTGCTTCCCAGCTGGAATTGCTCCAACATGACAGTTTTTAATTTTGCAATCCCAGACCAGTACCTGAAAAATCAATCACAAAAATGAATTCCCAGCCATATAGGACATTCCAAGCCAAACAATATTCTTAGGACCCAGTTCGTGGTATCATTGCAACCCAATTACTATTGCAAACATTATGTGAGATAACTAGTGGTTCTGGGAGGTAGGAGGGCAGACAGGCAATGTGAGGGAAAGGAGAAAATCTGCTTATCAGCCTTGTCTGGGTGCTGATCAGTCCGTGAATTTTGCCAAGAGCCTATAGACTGAGTCTGGATTTAGAATTTAATTGTGAGTAGTATCTTATGGAAAAATTGATAGGGTGTTAGGTTGCCAAATCTGGGGAAAGGATTCCTCTAGAGATGTATCTTTCTTTGGTAGAGCAATTTCAGAAATGTCTTTTTAAAAATATATAAATACATATTTTTTAAATATTCAGAAATTTACAGTGGTGACATCATGCTCTCCAGATTTCACTTAAGGCCCCCTTCTTTTGATGCCCTACATTTATAACTCTGCAAGCAATGTTTCCGGCTTCGTATTCTCTCCAATTAAAAACTCCTCATTCCCTAGAGGGGATTGGCTGCAGGTAGGATTGTATCCCATACGATTCGGTATCCATATTCCATGAACTTCCGTTTCATTCACTATGTCTGAGTCCTCAGAGATGAAGCAGGCAGACAGAAGTTTAGAGGCTTGCCATTTAACTCATCCTTGCCCACTTCAGTGAGTTTCAGACCAAGTCATTTCACATCGTGTAGTCACCGTTGTTAGTTTAGGGGAAAACGTGGAGATTTCATATTAAGGTCTTCATGAGCCAAGCCCCTGTCTTGTGAACCTGTCCCGGTACCAGGCCATCTGACTTGAGGGTTTTTGTCTAGGGCAAATTATGTTTTACATAATATATTAAATAGAAAAGTAGCCTTGGGTGTGGATTGAAACCAAGTGCTCATTGTGATGGATGGGGAGTGACTGGTCCAACAGGAATCCTGGCAAACTGCATTCTGCGCGATCTAGTCCGGTAATGTACTCACCGCAGAGGCTATGAATGGAGTGAGAGGGCCGTGGGAGAGGACTTTGTGATGATCTGGTCCCCGGGCTTCCATCCTACGCACCAAGCAGAGATTGATGGGGTACATCTGCCCCAGGCTGCAGCAGCTAGTAGCACCTACTGTCAACCCAAATGAAGGTCAGAGGCAAAAATCTCAATCCATGGAGGTTTATTAAGCCAAGATTTTGAGGACGTGCCTGGGGAGAAACAGGAACTTGCAGATAAGCTGTGCGTGTTTTTCCTAAGGGGAGGTTTGAACATTCAGCATTTTAAAGGTTTGCAAAGAGAAGAAAAGTGGGGCCGTGGTGAAGATGCAGTGTGGATGGTGGGGGTTGGGGAAGTGGCTATGTTCCTGTGAGGCCCAAGGAATAAACATTTTACATAACATAAGGGAGTGAAGGAAGCGTCCGTTGCTTAGATGTCCCTGGGTGGGTGGAAGCAAGATTCTGTCTTGTCTCCAGCTCTGTTACCTGTAAGTTAAACTGGTAATTCATTATTCCCGTGGAATTGAATAGACACGGGTATGATTTGCATGACCTTGCTTTTGAGAGGTTAGCGAGAATTTTTTTTTTTTTAATGAATGATCTGTGGGACCCGTTCTTCACAGGTGGCTGAAGATTTTACCTTCTCTTTTGCATAAGGAGTCGAGGAGATGGCCATGAGATTTTAATTTTCTTTTCACGATTTGAGCTTTATATTTTAATGTCCAGTGTAAAGGGAGTTTACAATGTTTCCAGAGGCTCTGGTATAAACTTACTCATTTCTGTGTTATCATAGTCTTGTGTTCATGGGTGATATCTGGGTCCAGGGACCTTGCATCTTTGGTCTTGGCAAATGTTTCCCATCTCTGTAATATATCCTGATGGTGTCACTTCTCTTCCCTATCCCCACAACAAATACGCCCCGTTATTCGTTTGACTGATGCACTTGCTTAGTATTTTATATCTAATATTTGGAACTAGCCAGCAAAAGGCAGGGAAGAGACAATTTTTCTTTAATTTGTTGGCAAATTGAGCAAAGATTTCCTCCTAAGAGACAAATCTTTCTTTCTGTTCCATTGTAATCTCCTATTTGCCTTTTGGTCCTCTAGCCATAGTTTCATTTCTCCAACCAGATAAGTAGGTCGGGATAGACATGTGAGATCACAGAATTAGTATTTCAGAGATGGGTGAGAATCAGTACAGAGCCATCCAATCCCATAGAAACATTTTTCTATATCCCCTCTCCTAAAAAGGGACGTTCCTCCCTTAATGAGAGAACCATCCTAGCCCATGATTCTAGCTGACCGTGCCACAAGATAAGTATCGTGTGCTTTATCCAGTTGTTAGAGTATCATTTTGTTATAAATAAATAAGGAGAGAGAGAAAGACCTTCCATATGGTAGAAAACCAGTTAGTGTAGTAGGAATAGTTCAATTATAAAATAATTCTTTGGCAATTATCATGATAATAGATTCAGGCAAAAATCACTCATGGATGCTAAAACTAGCAGGTAAAAATTTCAGGAGTAACAAGATATTTACATAATTACCAAGTACCCCTCCCTCCAAAAATACCATTATTAATAAGGAAAGCTCTTAGTCTATCATCCAGACCCTTGGGTAAAAAGATTGGTGTGATCGCCCTTAAGGGGCACCACCTAAGCGTATATATAGGGCACACCTCTTGGGTGCAGGACACAACTACAAAAGGAACTCCCCCTAACAAATGCAAACAGCATAACCTAGTTGTGTGTACCCTCACCTCAACCTGAAATAAAAATCAATCAATCAATGAATAAAGAAAAAATTAAAGAAAGAGAGAAACTGTGGGAGAAGAGAAAGACAGGACTGGCTGAAATTACATTGTAATACCCATTAGACAAAAACTGCAGTGTAAAAAAAAAAATGCAAAGAGATTTTCTAAGCCCTTTGACTTTACAAGTGTTTATTATTTTGTGGTATTGCCATCTGTTTCTGACAGGGGCAAAATAATTAAAACAAAGGTGTGTATGTGTGTGTGTGCGCATGTTCGCGTGTTTACAGACCAGAAGACTAGAGGATGAGAAACACGCCTGTTTCTGCATTTGCCTGCCAAAAAGGACGGGCAGGAAAGGAAATACTTAGGGGCAGGCAGGGGTGGGTGATCCGTTTCCCAGTTAACGGGACATTTAGAATTACAGCAACTTTGCTAGAATAGATAGTTATTACATTTTTGATGCTTATGTTAAAGAGATAAGGCAAAATTAAGCTGCTATTTACATGTTATCCTTTACTGTTGACATGTCTAATATTCCCATCCAAACTGTTCCTTATCCTAAAGGAACTTCAGTGTCACAAGATTTTCTAAAATTGGCTTGGGGTCCATTCGATGTCTAGTTAGAGTGACTAGCCGGTTGCTTCTGAAGTCCATTTACGGCACCTTACAGCAGAGATTCTTGTGCAAGGAATCCCCCAAAGTCACCCCTAAAGTCTCCATACATAGGAAAAAAGGAAATTGTAGCTAAACGTACCTTTTTGACAAGACATCCATTATAAAATTTTACAATATATTCTCTGAGTTTTGTTTTTTTTTTTTTGGCCACCTTTTGTAAAGTTTCGTAATAAATATTTTGTAAATAAGGACACGTGGAATTACAATTTTCCATATTCTCTGTGTATGGAAACTTTGGGAACAACTTTGGGACATCCTGTATAGAAAGCCATGGTCACTGGCATGACTGTCACTGAAGCCCGTTTAGTATTTTCTACCAGCTCGCTGCACACTCAGTGTGACGGCTTACAGTTTCCTCTTAGAGAGCTGATGTTCTGTCACCTGCGGTGATAGATAAGAATTGAAGGAAGGTAATAATTATTCCATTATCGATTGTTATTTTACTTACAAAATATAGCTAGCTTGTTTACTCGTCTCTCCTCCCTCCCTCCCTCCCTCCCTCCCTCCTTCCCTCCTACCCTCCCACCTTTCCTCTCCGTCTCTCTCTGCCTCTCCCTTCTGTCTCCTCTTTTTTATTTCTTTCTGTATATTATTTAACCTCTATTTCTTTCTCTCTGTGTATTATTTATCCTTTATCTCTTTCCCAAAAGGACTTAATGCATTGGGTGGCACCTGTGGCTCAGTGAGTAGGGCACAGGCCCCATATACCAAGGGTGGTGGGTTCAAACCCGACCCCAGCCAAACTGCAACAAAAAAGTAGCCAGGCATTGTGGTGGGCGTCTGCAGTCCCAGCTACTCAGGAGGCTGAGACAAGAGAATCACCTAAGCTCAGGAGTTGGAGGTTGCCGTGAGCTGTGATGCCACAGCACTCTACTGAGGGTGATAAAGTCTCTTAAAAAAAAAAAACAAGACTTATTGCAGCTTACAACGTAAGTCATAAATAACTAGCAGATAAATTATAGAATGAAAGAAAAAAACAAAATCATAAAAATAGCAATGAGAATAAGTTCATTATAAAATGTGACTTCATTCCTATAAATTAATTTCTCTATTTTTCCTCAACATTATGGAACGTAGAGATGAGAGGAAGGAAAACAAGATGTACAGATGTTAGATCTTATCAGGGGAAAGGAAGAAATGTACACTTCCCCATGGGGAGGAAAATTTATTATTGCAACCTGAATTTAAATGCACATTCTAACATGGGATTTCAGTGATAAACACAGTTATAAAGAATCCTAAGAATCTAATCAAGAATCCTAAGTCTCAAAAAAATAGACAGCTAATATTTATAAATAGAAGTAAAAGATAATTTCAAAAAACAGATCATGCCAAATCTTTCTCACAACAGAAAAAGAAGAAATACTTCAAAATCATTCTGCTTAATCTGGATACACCTGATATTAAAATTGGAAAAAATATAATGTTATAAAGGGGAAATTACAAACATAATTCACTTTTCAATGAGGATGCAGTGGCATGATCTGTTTTTTTAAATTATCTTTTATTTATAAATATTAGTTGTCTATTTTTTTGAGACTTTGGGAAAAAAATAATAAGTTAATTGATGACTCTATACTGAACCTCAGAGTCAAAGCATTCTATAATAGACATACTCTTATTTGACAATGTGAATGTTACTTTCTTTGCATTACTATTATTATTATTGCACTCGTCTGATTTCTTTTCTGAATGTATTTATCTTCATTCATTTTTGACAAGGTTTTTGTTTCTAGTCCTTGTCTTGAACACTGTTATTGTTGGTAAATTTTAAGCCTGTTTAATTCTCTGAAGGCAAAAAGTGGAAACCTAATAATCACATGTACATGTAAAAATAGAAAAATAATAACAAAAGAAACAAAATTCTTCTCCCCCCAAATAAATAAATAAATAAATGAATAAATCAACAATCCTTCTAAAATTTTTTTTCTTGGAAAAAAACAGATCCAAGAATCTAAAATGTAAAAGGATGTCTAAACACCAAAGGAACCTGTATATTAGCAAAATCTTAAATAACACAAGACTTGGGGCGGCGCCTGTGCTCAAGGAGTAGGGTGCCGGCCCCATATGCTGGAGGTGGCGGGTTCAAACCCAGCCCTGGCCAAAAAAAAAAAACACACACAAGACTGCATACTACAAAGATCTTAATGTAAACATTACTTAAATGACTTTGAGCTTTGTTATTGATTGGCAGAAAACTGGAGATTATATTCTGTCATAAGGTAGGATTTCTTGAATATTTTTTCTTTCCTTCTCTGTTCCTTGTAAATATAGATGAATGCATTTTTACTGCTCAGACCCTGAAAAAGAAAATGTATTCTATTCACTTTTTCAAAGGTTTAAAGAACTAAGAAATGTTTTTGTGGGGCGGGGGCCCTTGGGGGGAATAGCAATGCTGGAAGAGAATCCACACCCCATAAGAGCCAGTGCAATGTCAGCTAAGTGACTCTGTGAATATTCATTTGAAAGCTCAGGCATATTTTAAAACAGTCAGGTAAAATGGTAGATTGATCTGGAAGACATTTCATTTCAATATGACTTGAAATCTGAAAAAGAATTTTTCTTTTTTTTTCTCTCTTATAATTTTTTTATTAAGTCATATATACATAGATCATGATACATTTATGCCTTTGTGGGATTCAGTGATTACTGGTACAGATTGGAGTGCTTACAGCCTGCTGATTAACACAGCTTTCACCTTATTCACTTCATCACAGTGTTAAGACATTCGTGTTCAATACTTGATAGATTTGACTTGTACCCTTGCAATAGATGTGGTCCCACGAGAAGAATTTTTCTCCAGAAATGGAGAATCAAACTTTGCCCTGCAAAGCTTTAGATCTTCTCACGCGTGTTTCAGAGTGAAGCTTTTCTTGGGGAACCCATTCCTCAGGGCCGCCTTCACATCCTTATTCCTCAGGCTGTAGATCAGTGGGTTCAACGTGGGGGTTACAAGATTATTCAATATCTGAATTATAGCACCAAGCAAGGGACTGGGACGGGGCTGTAAATAGATGATGATTACGGGCCCATAAGCACAAAGAATGGCAGTGAGGTGAGCACTGCAGGTGGAGAAGGCTCGGTGCCTGCCCTCTGCTGAGTGAATTTTTGATATGGAGATCCCAATGCAAGTGTAGGAAACAAGGATGAGAAAAAAGCAAAGCAGAGACAAAAGACCAACATTTATGAAACCTACTCTCTGCACTAAGGACGTGTCCTCACAGGCGAGAGGCAACACGGCAGGTATATCACAGAAGTAATAGCTTACCCTGTTAGAGCCGCAATAGGGTAACTGGAACGTGAGGGAAGTTAGGACAATGGCGTGCACACAGCCACCCATCCAGGTCCCTGTGGCCAAGACAGAGCACACCCTGTGGTTCATGATGACTGTGTATCTCAATGGAAAACATATGGCAACGAAGCGGTCCCAGGCCATCACTGTGTAGAGGAAAGCCTCAGTACAGCCCAGGAAATGGTAGAAAAAGAGCTGGGCCACGCAGCCCGCGTAGGAGATGGCACGGCTGTTTCCCGAAAGGTAGAACAGCATCTTGGGAGCGGTTGTCGTAGAGAAACCCAGGTCGAAGACGGAGAGGTTGCCCAAGAAGAAATACATAGGCACGTGAAGCCCGGGGGAGGAGATGATCGTTGTGAGGATGAGCACATTTCCCAGGAGGGTGCACAGATACAAACAGGAGAAGAGGAACAGAAGGGCCATCTCCAGGCCTTCTGTCCCGGGGATTCCCAGCAGGATGAATTCAGTCACTGTTGTATGATTTCTCATTTTTAGGGAAGAAGCAATTCTTGGATATCTGTGAAAAGATATGTGTGGCTAAACTTACTATGTATGTAATTCACCTGTGGTGAGGTCTGTGAAATGGAAACACAGCAAAAGATCTGGACATCTGTAGAATGGTGCTTCCTGGTAGAATTATCTTGATCTGCCTGTTTCGTCCTGTTCTGGAGCTTTCTGCAGGGCAAGTTCTAATTGCAAATGCCCCTCATTGATCATCTCACCAAGAAATCTCACACAACTAGTCCCCCATCTTCATACAAGTATTCACTATGAAATTGCATTGATTCCAAATGCTGCTTTGTGATTCTAAAGAGCCAAAGCATAAATACTTCATGTCTGCATAACAAATGAGGTCTCTTCCAAATCTCTTATATTCCTCTAAGACAGTGGTTCTCAACCTTCCTAATGCTGCAGTGTATTTTCATTGTTACAAAGGGATCACGACCCACAGGTCGAGAACCCCTGCTCTAAGACAAACTGGTTATATGAACTTTCCAGAAGTCATTTGGGATTAAGTTAAACACACATACAAAATATAGTAGAACCCGCATAGTTGACCACCTTGTCACATTGACCACCGTAAGTTGCCCTAATTTTCACAGAGTGGACATGCACCACATGGACAGTATAGTAGGCCCAGTTCCTTATGTTGACCACCTCCGTATGTTGACCCAATTGTTACTGTTTCTTGAGTGGTCAACTTACAGAAGTTCTATTGTATAAAGCATCCCACATTGTCTTCTCTGGTATGAGGGTCCATGATGAGAAACTAGCCAAAAGGAGGGTCTTAAATAGTTGTTCACGAGCAGAAAATGGCAGGGCTCTTATCCTCTGGAGCCACCAGGCTTTCGTCTACATGAATAACTGCAGTCTCCAAAGTCTGTGATGGCCTAACTGGATCCAAGCTGGACCACACTCTAATTCTGTGGCAAGAGAAAGGACAGGGGTGGGAGTAGTAAAGACTCCTTTCGAAGCTTCATATTTTTTAAAAAAATCTGACCTATTTTTCTATACATTTGATCTTTTCCAACACAGTGAGATCTTTAAATTATAGCTCAATTTAAAGCATTTATTCTAGTACCTAACCCACACTCTGTATTTATCTATATATATATCAATCTGTCTCTGAACTATGTTTTGTTTTGTTTTTTCCCTGGTGATTGTGAGAAGAAGGAGAGAATGACAGTCCAGGTAAAAAGGCAAGGACAAAATTTGGGCACTTACATAGCAAACCAGGGACGTAACTTCCCGATTCAGCAGGAAGGGGCCTCCCCAGTCTAAATCCCCACCTCCCCATCAGCTGCAGTCTTCAGTTCAAATCCTGAATTCTTCTCTTTTCTAGACACTTTCAAATAGAATGCCACAAATTTAAATGTGCTTTAGCTTCCTCATAGTAATTTCCTGTCTCACTTCAGGAACTGCACTAATTCCCAAACATGGGAGATTTTAAATAAGCTTGGTCTTCCTTTGGGTATTAATACCCCACGTTAAGGACCCTATTGAGCAAGGGAGCAATTAACTACTTGGTATAATTAGACCTTGGCAATGAAAGAGGGGGGGAGAGAGAGAATCTGATTATTTTAATTTCTTTTGTAAAATATACTTTGGTGGAATAACAATTTTTAAAAAATTCATTTGACACATAACATCACACGTAATTGTGTGATTTTTTTGTTTGTTTGTTTGTTTGTTTTGTTCTTTTTTTGAGACAGAGTCTCACTCTGTTGCCCTGGGTAGAGTGCCAGGGCACCATAGTTCATAGCAACCTCAAACTCTTGGGCTCAAGCTATCCTCTTGCTTCAGCCTCCCAAGTAGCTGGGACTACAGGAGCCTGCCACCACACTCGGCTAATTTTTCTCTTTGCAATAGGGTCCTTAACATGGGGTATTTAGTAGAGACAGGGTCTCACTCTTGTTCAGGCTGGTCTGGAACTTGTGAGCTCAGGCAGAATACCTGCCTTAGCCTTGCAGAGTGCTAGTATTACAGCTAGGCCTTTATCTCTCACTGCGCCTGGCCTTATGTGTGCATTTTTATATTTACTGAATTTCATGTATATGTGTTGTTTTTATGAATAAATTAAACCTCATTTTACTACACAGTACCAACAGGGTGGACTTATGCAATCCTTAGTAACTAGGGTAGCTCAGAGAATTAAAGAAACCCGTGAAAATCAGGCCCTAGAAGGGCAGGAATGAGGCAGCCCGGGGACCTTAGCAGTAAGGATTTAAGGAGCAGCTTCAGGGCTGTCATCATGTGCTTGAGGCTCAGTAGCTTTGTTTCTGTGCGCCCCAGATCAAGATTCAAATCTGATTTCCTTGGCTGAGGCACATGCCTACCCTTGTGACCAGGGACAGGATATGAAGGGATGGAGATGAGTAGTTCTCCAAAGGGTAGAGGAGGTGGGGGAGAGGCTAGTGCCAGGAGAAAGAGGGAAGAAATGTGCTGAGAGGCAAAAAACAATTCTAAAGTATCACTCGAAGTATTTATTCTGTACTATTTGGCATCTATTAAAGCTTCTAAGATGAATCTCTTGAATACTTAATAAATATTGGAGTAGAATACCAAATTCCTCATTGAATATGTTCATTTTTTTATTTATGCATACATGAAATTCATTTATTTTAACAAACATTGTGTGCCATTTACATGTCAGGCATTAATTATTTGCCAGGAGAGATAGAAAGTTGGGTACAGGAACAGGTAAGTTAGATATATTTCCTCTACTTAAAAAATCTTGTAATTGAGTGGTGCCTGTGGCTCAAAGAAGTAGGGCACTGGTTCCATATGCTGGAGGTGGCAGGTTCAAACACAGCCCCAGCCAAAAAAAAAAACCTTGTAATCTATGGAAGAAAAATAATATATATTTTTTTATTAAATCATAGCTGTGATGTTAATGCAATCATGGGGTACAATGTGCTGGTTTTATATACCATTTGAAATATTTTCATCAAACTGGTTAACATAGCCTTCACAGCATTTTCAATGTTCTAGAATTTTCATAAGCAAAAAAAAGTAGAATCAAGTCATATTTTATCTGCATTAAGCAAAGGTTCAATGTTTGATTACTTCTTTGTGTTAAATGTAAATTCTATATGTATTTTGAACATGTCAAATATTTATATTTAGTGAAATTACAAAGAAGTTATCTTATTTTAACTGAAAAATAGAAATTATGCGTTTTTATGGTGTGCAGCACGTTCTGAATGGGATACATATTGTGGAATGGCTAAATCAAGCGACTTAACACCTCACATACTTATTTTTGTGTATGTTGTGAGAACACTTAAAATCCACTCTCTTAGCCATTTTTAAGTGTTCAATACATGTTATTAACTACGGCCACCACATTGTACAGTAGATCTCCTGTATGATCTCATGCCTCCTGTCTAACTGAAATTTTGTATCTTTAGCCAGTATCTGGCCACCATCTCTGCTCACTGTCCTTCAACTCTGTCTTCTGTGAGGTCAACTGTTTTAGACTCCAAATACAAGTCAGGCCATGTGGTACTTGTCTTTCTGTACCTGGCTTATTTGACTTAGCATAATGTCCTCTAGGTCCATCTATGTTGTCACAGATGACAGGATTTCCTCCTTTTTAAAGGCTGAATAGTATTCCATTGTGTATGTCTACTAAATATTTTTATTCATTCATCCATTGATGGATGCTTAGGTTGTTTCCATGTCTTAACTATTGTGAATAGTGATGCAATACACACGGGCATGAAGATATCACACAAACATACTGATTTCAAAGAAATATAACTTTTTTTTTATTAAGTCATTTGTACATAGATCATGAATGCCTTTATGCCATTATGGGATTCAGTGTGTTGATTATTTGTACAAATTGGAGTGCTTACATCCTACTGATTAACATAGCCTTCACCTCATTTACCCAATTGCAGTGTTAAGGCATTTGTTTTCTACACCTGATAGATCCACAATATGCTCCATAGATGTGTATTTCATTTACATTGCACTGAGCAAAATCATGTACTCAGGATTTCTACTGAAAAATGATAGATTAAATCATGCAGAAGATATTTTACCCTTTAGGAAATTTATTAAAGGCAGGATAATGTGTTCCTTTATTACTTAAGCCAATTTTTGTTGGCTTTATTGTTACTTATATCTGAAAATATAATTAACACAACCTCCTACAACTAGAATATAAGCTCTAAGAGGGCAGGAACTTAACAAGTAATTAAATAGAAAAATAAGTAAAAGGGGGAAAAAAGGCTAAGTACTCATGAAAGCTTGCAGTGCATTTAGCCCTGTGCTCGGAAATAAAGATCATATAGGAAGAGAAATGATGGAATCGTGAGGTTGATTTGGGTTCTCTATCTGAGAGACAGAGAAAGGGTCAGGAGTGAGGAGAACTAGTGAGGAAGAGAGTTATTCTCTCTTTCTCTCCTTTCAGTTTTCCCTCCTGGGACAGGTGAGTAAGGCAGGCAACTCCTATGCTGCAGGTTCTGTTGTGTCCGATTCAGCCAAGAAGGAAGAGTCTACACTTGAACACGGTTTGAGCCACACTTCCCACTCACCTTACCAGAGAACTCTATTGGTGGGGAATATTGAACTTTTGCTGATTTTTTCATACCCTCTTTGCTGTTGATTCCTGTTTTCATTCTTTGTGAGTTAGAACTTAGGAGTCGAGTAGAAGTCTCAGGCCCGGAAGCCACATCAATAGTCATCTTGATAGGGAATGTGAGAAATACCATGGAAGAAAAATAATAGAATTTCTAGCAAATGCTTGAGGTGGACAATAATAATATAAATAAATTTACAGCATTACACAAATGCCTGGCTTGTGACTTTCTCTAGAAACACCTAACCGGGTGAGTGCATGAGCATTAATGAGGCAGATGAGCTCACTGTAGACTGGGCAAGGAGTCATGGTGGAGGGAAGGAGCTGAGCAATTTGAGACTAATTATAATAATAGGTAAGAAACATGAACTTGATAAAAAGCTACAAGAAAGGGCTGACAGCTGATGGGAATGCAAGCTAATAGGACCTTTTTGGAAAGAAGTTTGGAGAATACTCAATGGACTAAAAGTAGACCTACCATTTGATCCTGCAATTCCTCTACTAACTCCACTAAGAGTGTGATATGAAGATTAAATGAGTGCTTACAAGTAAAATGTTCATCACAGTGACTGGAAGACAGTGCTCTAGCAATATTAGCTAACACTCCTCTTTGCAAGACAAAAGAACTGAAATGTTTCAGGTAGAAAAGAGAAAAGATTATATTCTAAGAGGAGAAAGTGGAGAGGAAAAGAAAAAGAAATGAATGTTGATTTGGCACAGAGCAGGATTTCTGAAGGGCAATATTTGGATTGACAAAGACCTCCCCTATCTTCATTCAGGTAAAGTTGACTGACTATTCTGGGCACAAGAAATCTATCTCCAGCTATTTGCTATGCGCTTTGGATTCCTTACCCAGAATTAAGACACAAAGAATCATATTAATTATTGAGTTATTTATAGGGCCTCCAGGATTACAGAGGCACACAAACATAGGAAATCTTATTAGGCAATAAAGTATAAAGCTTTTAGAGGAGGGATTTTCTAATATGAGCTTATTTATTTAAGAGGAGAAAATAGGAGGAGGATGTTAAGAGATATTAAATTTCTAAAATCCACCATAAAACCTGTAAATTATTCCCTGACAGTAAGTAAAACATTTTGGAACACCCTCTTCAGGGACCTTTTCACCTCCTTGTTCCTTAAAGAATAAATTAATGAGTTCAGCATGGGGGAGACAATATTATTTAATATCTGTACCACGGCACCAAGCAAGGGGTTGGGTGTGGGCTGCAGATAGATGATAATGACAGGTCCGTAGGCACAGAGGATCGCAGTGAGGTGCGCACTGCAAGTGGAGAACGCTTTCCGCCTGCCCTCTGCTGAACGAATTCTCAAGATGGCAATCCCAATGCGAGTGTAGGAGACACAGACACTGAACAGAAGCATTAAAGCCAGAAAGCCAACATTTATGGAACCCACTTTCTGGGCCAGGGCACTGTCAGTACAAGCCAGGGGTAAAACAGCAGGAATGTCACAGAAGAAGTATTCCACCTGATTGGGGCCACAATAAGACAGCTGAAAAGTAAAGGACGTCAAGATGGTGGCCTGAAGACAGCCCACCAACCAGGCTGCCACGACCAAACCAACGCAGACTCCAGGCTTCATGATGAGCATGTACCTCAGGGGGTGACAGATGGCAACAAAGCGATCATAAGCCATCACAGAATAGAGGCAGCCTTCGGTCGAACCCAGAAAATGGTAGAAGAAGAGCTGTGTAACACACCCTTTAAAAGAAATGACTGGGCTCTGGCCAGAGAGATAGAACAGCATCTTGGGGCAGGTTACAGATGGGAACAAAATGTCAAAAATAGATAGGAGTCCCAGGAAGAAATACATGGGGGTGTGAAGGGTAGAGGAAGAAACGATGGCTGTGAGGATGAGTGAATTTCCAAGCAGGGTGAAGAGGTAGATGGATGAGAAGGTAGCGAAGAGCACAGCCTCCAGCCCCGCCGTCTGCGGGATCCCCAGTAGAACGAACTCATTCAGAAGTGTGTGATTCCTCATGTTCATGGAGCAGGGGTCGAGTTTTCACAAAAGACGTGAAAATATAAATGAGGGGACTGAAACAAGAAATGCCACATGTATCTTAATCCATGTGATAATTAGATCTAGAACAGTGTTAGCACAATATATTAATAAAATGCATGTCCTTTCTTCATGGCTGTGGTATCAAGTTGATAGAGATTCTATTCATTGTATTGGGTTCTTGGAGTTCTTGGATCCTTTTTGGTTTCTTATTGGAGGAAAGCCAGTATTTTCACTTTTTTTTTTCCTCCAGACTGCTTTTCTCTACTTCCCATGGGGGATCATCGGGACCTGAAGTCAGTTGGTAGTTGTGCTGAAGTTCTTGGAGAAAGAGTGCATGGCCACTGGTGGCCTCCATGCTCTGGGTTAGTCATCTCTTAAGCAACCGGGGCAGGTTCTGAGCCATTTCAGACAGGCTCAATGGACTAAGAGCACAAATAGAAGAACTGCTACATGTGTGTTTTCACATAGTCCTAGGAGAAGACTTTCAATAGCGTAGTGCAGAAAAAAAGTGTAATGTAATATGTGATTTTTAAACCATGACTATGTAGGGGGATAAATAGAAAAAGAAATAGATGTTGGAAAACAAGATCAAAAAAAAAAAAAAAGAAAAATAATCATTGCAAACATGAGTAATTGTGGTCAGCAGATAGTGAGTACCCAGTAAATGTTAACTTTTGATTAACTGAGATAATATTTATCTCATAGAGTTGCTGTAAAGAATAAACATGATACTATACCTCATGTAACCTTGCAAAATGTAGGGAATTCTGTTGCTGTCTTTGTGGAGGAGAGGAGACAATGAAGGAATGGTGATCAGGAAGGACAGGGTTTTAAAGCCAGATAGACTTTATTTTACATATGGCTCTTGTTTACAAATTTGATGACTGTTATGCTTTTAGCTTCTTGCCTCTAAAACAGGGCAAGTGTTACATGCTGAGGACTTTTCAGTAGATTGAATGGGATAATGTAGTCTGAGGTGTCTAATACAGTGCCTGTGCCTACCAACTGTGCCTGAGGTGTCTAATACAGTGCCTGTGCCTGAGGTGTCTAATACACTGCCGGTGCCTACCAACTGTTATCTAGGCCTATCCTCTAGGTTCTTGTTATATCAGCATGAACATAGCTAATGCTAAATAACATTGTTTGGGGGAGGTGTTTAGAAAATGCCCCTGAGCACCCATTCAGGTCTCCATTGAATTATGTTGAGGTGCAAAAATAGCGTATGTGATGGAGAAGATTGGGAGCCATGGGTTAAGTGTCTTCTTGCACGTCTCACATCCCACATGCAAGTACCTTTCCAGCCATTCAAAACACAGTAAAGATGAGTTACTCTAATATGAAATCAGTGATAGTGAGGGGAAACCAGCCCCACTGCTCTTGATGCCAGAACAGTACAGTAAAAACATTATTTTCTATAAGCAAAAATTCAAAGCAAAGAAAACCTATGAGAAATATCTGATGAAAATAACACCCTTTCAGACTAAGATTTTATTAATCATAAGTAAAAAGTTTGGTCCTCATAACTTCAAATATAATTTTTACACAAAATTTTCAGCTTAAATTTAAGCTCTTCACCCATTTCTAGACCCATAAACAGACAGATTCATAGGCATCAAAGACACACAGAATGGAGAATGATAATTTAAATAATAATTCAGAGTTGTGTTCATAATATGGGTACAGCTTTTCTAGAAGATTCAACTCAAATCCAAACATTTGGCACATAGTTAAGTGTCCACTACATATTTGTGTTTTATTAACTGGGATAATATGTCACTCAGAGAATTGACGTCATGATCAAATATGATGATGTTTATGAGAGAGTTTGATACACAGTAAGATGCTATAGAACAATTCATTATTAATATATTCACTATAGGGGGTCTTGTGGTGAAGAATTTGGGGAGTTACCTGCATAGAGATGGTGGTTGTCCTAAACCTGAGTTAAGTCACTAGGAGACACAGGGCAAAATAGTACTGGAAGCCAAACCTTGAGAAATAATACATTTGCAGAAAAGAAGGGGAGGGAGCCATTTAAGAAGAATTATATTTCAGATAATTAGGAAGAGAATCAGAGAATCAGGAAAATCTTCTACTTATCTTTGTCTTATAAAGATTGTTACCTCATGTCATAGCAATATAGTTTCTCCATGTCAAGGAATATATCCGACTAATTTTTAATTCTAAGCAACTGTGGCGCTTGGAACATGATGGGCTGCTGAATTAGTTAGCAATGAACAGGGAACAGAATAATGAAATTCATTCCTTATATTATGCAGCCTTAAAAAAAGATGGAGACTGCATTAATGTACACAGCTTATGATTTAATAAAAAAAAAAAAAAGATGGAGACTTTACCCCTTTTATGTTTGTATGGATGGACCTGGAACATATCCTACTTAGTAAAGTATCTCAAGAATAGAGGAAAAGGAATCCAATGTACTCGGTACTAATATGAAACCAATTTACAATCCCTCACACTTTCCTATGAAGAATAGATCCCAACTATGGCCCAGGATGGAGGAGGGAGGAGGGGGGGAGGTCAGATGGAGGGAGGGTGAACGGTGGGATAGCACCTATGGTGCATATTGCAAGGGTACATGTCAGATCTATTAAATATAGAGTATAAATATCTTAATACAATAATTAAGTAAATGAGGTGAGGAATATATTAATCAGTATGATGTAAACATTCCAAATTGTATATAAAATTAGCACATTGTACCCCCTAAATGCATTAATGTATACATGATCTAACTAAAAAAAAAAAAAAAAAAAGAAATTCATTCCTTCACGCTGTGTGAGAGAGTGAAGAAGGGAGAGGACCCGGTCCTTCCATCCAGGGAGAAGGAAGCCCGCATGGTGACTTCTTCCCACAGTCTTTACTAGCCAGGGCTCTGGAATGAGGGGAAAAAGTAAAAATTTCGAAAATGAGAAGTTCTGATCACTTACGTAGTTGAAAGTTCGTGACTGGCTTAAGGAAGGAAAATAAACGTTTTTCCCTCTTCATTTTCAGTGTCTTCTATACAGCTCGGGGTTCTCCAACCCCACTTCTTCTTTCTCTTAGATGCCAGGGAATTGGGTTTGGGTTCTCTTGCTGCCGATCGCAGGTGGCCTTTCAAGTTTTCATTCAGAATAACACACAGAGTCTACTGTATCACCTAGGATGATTTCCTCCGTGTCAGCAGGAGTCAACATATCTCCTGTCTTTGTGGAGATTTTAAATGATCTTATAGTCTCTTAGGATCCCATGGGTCCTCCTCTGTGACACATCCTGAGACTCGGGGAGCAGGAGTCCTCCGAGCCGAGGGAGCAATTAAATGACAGATGTTGAGAGAGTTCAGGAGTCAGGAAATAGGATGCAGCCATCAAGGTCATCTTTAAAGGAATAGGGAATCGAAGAGCTGTGGATTTCTCTCCACCACCCCGTTTTTCTATTTAGTGTCAATTCCATTGACCTTTTTCCTTCTCTAAAGAACTCAGGAATTTGGAGGCCAAATCTGTCATTTCTCCTATTTTTAGCTATCCCCTTAGCTCTTACGGCTGTGGGGAAAAAATGTAACATAGTGAAGGTGGTTCCAAGGTTTGTTTGGTTCCAGATTGTTCATGGTGTGAAGACCAAGTCTGTGGAGCAGGTGACCAGTTCTCTCTGAACCTTAGTATTGTAATTTGGAAAATGGAATTATACTGGTATTTCATGCGGTGATAGTAAGGGCTAAAGAAGATAGTGCTTATACACTTCCTGACACACCCTGTGCTCCTGTGATATTTATAATTCCGATTAATACCAGTAAAGAAGTATATTTATTTTATGCATTTTATAGATACTCCTTGAAATTGGATGGATTACAACACCTTCACCTCGTTGTTCAACTCTCCTCCCTCCCCTTACTCTTTTCCTCCTTCCCTTCCCAATTTTAAGATGAGGGATTTTTTTTTAATTGTTTGGTTGTTTCATTTTTTTTAACTATATGTAATTATGGGGAAAAAGATGAACTCACACAGACCAAAATAAAACTAATATTACCAGATGTAGAAGCAGTATAGGAAATCTCCGAATCCTTCTCAGAAAAATACCCTGGTCTATATGGAGACGGCATGTGGTTTTCCTGACTCTGAGGGTTCATCTGCCCATCTCAACAAAGGAAAAGGGAAACTAACATTTAGAGAGTGCCTACTTGTGAAGGATGCCTTAACAAAATCTTATTTTACTTAATTTTCACAACATACATATAGGGTGAACATTATTAGTCAATTTAACAAATAAGGACATAGACTTGGAGTAAACTGTTTTCTCATGATTACACAATTTTTTTTTTTTTTTTTTTTCAGTTTTTGGCCGGGGCTGAGTTTGAACCCACCACCTCCGGTATATGGGGCCGGCGCCCTACTTTGAGCTACAGGTGCCGCCCTGAGTACACGATTATTAAGCACGAGAAGTACAAATTGAGCTCTAGACTGCTTGAATCTAAAGCTCACACTTCCCTCTGTGATGGACCCAAGTTGATTCTAATACATCAGTACCTGCTTCCTAGATTTTACCACAAATGTTTTGACCTTCTGGATGAGTGAGGTGTGACCTTTACTAGTCCTCAGAGGTTTAGATCCTTAGACTTAATCTTACACATCATCTTTGGCACTTACTTATGCTTTTGGTTTCTCCATATGGTTCTTACAAGCCAAGAACCATATTTGTGGTCTGTAAGTGATGAAAATTGCTACTCTTAAGCAGAAGTCAGCATCTTCTAAGAAATTTCCAACAGTTAAGTGGCTTACTTATGACAGACATTACTTCTGACTGCAATGAACACAGATTGATGTATGTAAAACACTCAGCTCTGCTTTCAAATAGAAACTATATTTATACACTCAGTATAGTGTGTGTGTGTATATTAAATATGTATGTATGTGTATATATGTGGTGTGTGTGTGTGCATATATATATACACACATATATATATGCATATATATAAATCT